GGAGTCCGCTGGCAAACTATGGAAAGCGGCTTAAAACGGAATTCAAATGGTCTATTTGGTGGCTCGTAAATTCCAGGCACGTAAACCCGAGCACACGGATTTTGCCCACTTGTTGCTATCTATCGGGTTTTACTGTACTCCCAGCTCTCTCTCTCCTACTGATATGCAAAGCATGTGCCTCAAAACTCCGATAGTTTCGGTTCGGTTTTATGTGGCAGCCCCTATGGAAACCCATGGAAAATTCACGACCCATAGCATTTGATAGTACAGTAAATAAGTACATAGATCCAACTGCATTTTGCCTCCATGCGGAAGCGCTTTCCCGAGTTGATAAACTTCTGAGCGACCAAAAGTGTTTGAAGTTGGTTTTTCGGGGTTATTGTTATGCGACGAAGGTTCGAACAGCTGACAATGGGATAATAAAAGAGGTTCTCAAATCTGCAGTTATAGTATACAGAACTACAGAACGCAGTGGATAAGATGGTTTTAAAAATAAAATAAAATACATTCATGTTCCTTTTACTAATTACCTTTTAAAACTTATCATAAAGTCTGCAATTATTCATATCATTTTATTTTCCCTTACCTTCTTCCTATCATCTGTTGATATTATTTCTGTAAATTTCTCTATTGACTTAACATTATTAATATGTCATTGTTATTTCTGTTTTGCCTTTTTTTTGCTGTACTTGTATTCCTTATTTGGGCCACACATTTCTGTACGTTTTCTTGCGTACGCGACAATAAAACAATTTTAACGCCGAATGTTTTTTTTTTACGGTTTGTGTGCACAGCCACGAGCGCACACAGTCGACAAAAAAAGTAAAAAAAAAATACGAATAATGAGTTTATGTATTTTAAACTGACCTCATTATGAAGAAAAATTGTTTTTGCACACCGAGTGTGGAAGGAACAAGTTGTTAACAAATGGAATTTTGAAGAAGTTTGGCTGGCCTTAAAACCAGAGTCGTCAGTACAGTAATGTTAATAATTATTTAAGGCGATAAGACCTGCAAAACAATCGAACCAATTGCTGTAAGTTAACTGGCTGATAAAATAGAATTTCGCTTATCTCAACAAGCAATTGATGAAATCAACAACTTCTCGTTCGATTAGCTTATAAAATGTATTCTTATTTGGGTAAAGTAAATTACTTAGTGGTTTATTTCCTCTTCTCAATCGTTATTTTAGCTAAAGAGCCAATTAATCAAGTACTTCAAAATTGTGTTTATCTTTTTGTTTGCAGAGTTAATAACTTATGCACAATTTACGGGGCAAGTCTTTTCCGCTTGCACTTCAATAAACAATTTTCGTTTATTTTCGGTTATTTATTTGTTCTTGTATAGGAAATGTTTGGAAAAATTGTCACGTAATATTTGTGAAGTGAGTTGCAGATGGTTCGGTGTTTTTTTTTTTTTTTTTGAGGGGGAAATAACTGTCAGCATTTTAATAAATTACTCAACTGAATTATCCCCTAATTATTGTGGATCATTGGGTTTTAATGATATATGAGTGGAAAGAATGGATAAATAGGGGTTAAAATTAGTGATTCTATAATAACTTTGGTTAACAGCTATAAATCCCCTTAGGAAATTGCGCATTCGCGGCAATTTCTCATTCCACTCGACTGTTGCAAGCAACTTTCGGCACTCTCTGTAATTTTAATTTAATTTAATTCTAAGCACGTCTGGGAAAAATATAACCAACAACTGTAATTACGTTTTTGCAAAATACGAAGCAGAAGAAAACGAAAAAAAAAATTGGCAAGAACGAAGAAGCGATGGAGAATTCTTTTGAAATCTTTTTTTTTGTATCCACGAGTTGGAGTTGCTCTTCCCTCCCTCTCCCACCCACAACCACCCCCTCGCAGCTACAACGTCATCTTCGCGGTTTTCTAAACGGTGATTTAGCCATTATGTTAACGGTAAAATGTGCAGAATCTCCTGAAGTTTCTTTTCTTCGCGATTGGGCCCAAAAACCGGTTTCTTTGGGCCTTCATCGCCGTTTGCTTTGTGCAACTGTTTCGCTTCTTTAGTGAGTTTGTATATACGTGTGTGTGTGTGTGTGTGTGTGTTTGTGTGTTGCATAACTCGCGTATTAAGTTGCCTCGTTGTCATCGCCATCGTCTTGGCCAAGTTATCTCTTGTCTTCTTGGCTTCTGTTAGCACGATTCTAAGCTGGTTTTCTTGTGTGGCTAATTTGCTTGGTTTTTGTGTTCCCGGCACTCAATCACTCATTTCCTTCGACAGTTGCGGAAATACAAATAAATATTCTGTTTACCCACAAAATTTACAAGCTATAAATAAATGGGAAATAAGCAAAAGATAAGTGGGAAGCAGCCAAAAGAGCCGGGAAAGAAACATTACCATTATCAGAAATGCATTTCTTCTTGTTTACATTTCACTCGCTCTCTTTTTCGATTTCCACAATTTTGTCCTTGTCTCCGCCGCTGATAAAAATAAAGTCCAGTCCACAAACACAGAAAATAATTTCAACGCGACGCGACGACAATAAAGTAAACAGAATGAAATTGTTTTCCTTCGACGTATTTTCCAACCTCTCGTCGCGTCTGCGACTTGTTGAAACTATTTCAAGCGCAGAATGAAACTTAAACACCAAAAAGAAAAAGAAAACACAAGCTCATCAATATCAACATTCACATCAATATCAACATCTCATCCCGTGCCGTCAGCTCTGGCATTCAATTAACATGCTTTTGTGAAAATTTATTGAATCTCTTTTTTAATGAAGTGGCATGTCCGAAGGCTGTTCCTTCCTTTCCAGCCAGCGTGTTCATCGATTGGAAACGCTTTATGGCATTTTAGCGGCTGATAAGGTATATATTGTTGGGCTTAAATGTCAGAAGTATCCATTTTATATCGGCAAAGGTGCCAAGTATACATGCATTTAAATTTAGCATAAGCTTACTGATTAATAAGCATTTAAATAGAAGAATAGAAATAAATATATGCATACTTACCCTCTAAAAATAAATTCCTAATAAAGATTATTTTCAAAGAATGTAATCCCTCGATTTACTGTTCTAACTATTCGATATTATGACAAATGTTCAAATATATATAGAAAATCTTTATAACAAATTATACCAAATGTAAACTTCGCTTATTCTGTTGCCCAAGTGTCGAAATACAATAACCAAAGATCCGCTTCCTTGTTTTAATCAATCAAGCGACAAACAGACTGGAAGAAGTGATATCGCAAACTTTGTAAGTTGCTCTTGGGCTGCCACTCGTCGCCCGATGTATCTACTAGATACATGTGTATCTATGCATCTGCTAAGCTCGTACAAAGCAACAATTATAAACAATGACAAGAGCAGCAGCGGCAACAGCAACAACAATGAAATGCATTATTATTATCAGCAAAAATACATGACAAAAGAATGGCCACAGCGAGAGGGATTTGATGGAGCTATATATACATATATATACATATATATAAGTATATATGTAGGGAGAGAATAAGACAGGGAGATTATGCTTCTGGTGCTGGCTTTTGTGCCACGCGTACAGGAAATTATATAAACAAGTTTCGGGGCTCCAGAAGGGGGGGAAAAACAATGAGAAAAACGCAATGCAGTCGCAGTTGCTGCAGTTTTATTCATTCGCTTGTATGCGAGAGTATCTGTGTGTGCGAGAAGTGTGTATGTGTGTACTTCGTATGGCAACAGAAAATGTTGTTGATGTTTAAAAAGCAAATACACTAAAGCATTCTCCTCATGCCACGAACACTTGCATACATGCATAAGTATTTTCCCTGACGAGAATGCTACATGCGTGTGGAAAAACTCTTTTGGGTGGTGGCTGCTGGCTGACGAGTTGAGTATACGACACGTTGGCCAAGTGAAGAAAATGAACACGATAACAAATAAACGAGTGGCGAAGGGAAATCTGAAAAATGAAACTTTAATTTGCGCAGAATCTGGAGATTATACAGCTTATGCAAGATAATGCTGTTTGTTTACAAGAAGCTTACGAAAAGAGTTCGTTCGTCAAGAGATTATACTAAAGGATTTTCAGGCTAGGAAATAGATTTTTTAAATAAAAGTATATATGTATTACATTACATTAATAAATATTATGTGTTATACTTTTATTAATAAGATACAAAGCAGCTATGAAAAAAACAAATTTTGAAAAGACTTCTTCTTTTGTTAATACTTTTTAATGATATTGTAATGAAGTAAAAGTTTTTTTGTTTTAATAGCTAATAATTATTATAATTATTGCACCTTTTTTGTTAGATTAATCGCTTTAGAAAAACCCTTTAGTAGAGGGAACCTTTCCAGGCAATTCAGTTTGCCAACACCCTTGATTGTCTGCCGCCTCTCGTGGCCTTTTTTTTCTTTGAATCAGTTTTTAGATACATTTAGGCTTAAACCTTAACCCTTGCCTGCCGAAAAATGCTTGGGGGAAGGCGAGGCGGATGGGGGAACCTACTGCAGTGGGCCCTCGGCAACACAAAAGGGGCCTTAGTACCTCAGTAACCCCCCACCACCCCCTCCAGATTTTCCAGCCCCACTTTTCCCTTCACCTTGCATAGACACACACACTTGGCGCCTTTTACTCATTTCGTCTTGGGTTTGCTAGGGTTTTCTTCACATTTTGCTTGTTTTTGTTGTTTTGGTTTTTTTTTTTGGGTTTTCATCATCAGGCGGTTGGTGATGATGATGATGATGGAGAAAGGGGGCTCGGCTTTGGCCCTAAGTGTTTCTTGTAACTTGAGTCTTCAAGTGGCCAGCTGGCATTTGCTTTTGCCAGTTTTTCTTGTTTTCTCGGGCTCTCTTTTCTTTCGGTGTGTCTGTATGTGTGTATGAGTGTGTGTGTGTGTTGTTTTCAAGTGCGGCAACTTATGTCAAGCCTAGCGTTTTGTTAAAAATAATACTGTAAAATGTATGAACAAAAGAGATGTACGAAAGCAACCAAAAAAAAAACATGTTAATAAAATTTCCTTTTATTTTCCCCTTTCCTCTTTTGCAGTGTTTCATTTACGTTCGCGACTTTTGTGTGCAGACATCAAATCAACGGCAACAACAAATTAGCAACAACATCGTCATCAGTAGCAACAACAACAACAGCAGCAACAAAAACAACGAAGGGCACATCTAACGCTGCGGCTAACAGATGAGCCCCAACAACAGATGTCAATTGCTGCAGCCGAAAATGCAGGGTAAGTTGGGATATAGTAGAGGGGATATAGGGGGGCTCTTCAGGTTGGGGTTCGGATTGGAGCCTTATGGCTAATGAGGTAAATTGGACGAAACAATGGCAGTTAGATGGGGAACAAACAAAACTAAACTTAGGTTGGGGAAACGTGACTTTGGCTTTCATTAGAAAATAATTTGTGTTTATCACTTTAAAACTTCTACTTTAAAAAATTCTATTTTCAAAAGTACCATCGAGATTATGTTATTAAAAATGTGTTAATTTCATACGGTCAAAAACGGTTCAGAAATGCATATAATATTTCAAGATGCATAATAGGATTTTTTTGGCTTAAAGCTTAGGCTTTAAAGTTATTGTTAAACAATTTCATTAGGCAATACAAATTACATACTCAAAGTATAATTAGGCAGATATGCAGTTGATTTCTTTTGTTGTTTTTAATTGGTTAATCTTTTGCTGATGCCTCCACTTTGCAGCCAAATAAAAATACTAATTAAATCCCCTCAAATATTTAATAATTAGCAGAAAAGACTGCTCCTCAACTAGGTTTATGTACTCGAAATGGAAAAAAACGTTCATTTATCACAGAGTGGCTGGCTCCTTTCTCTTCCTCCCCTTTCCACTCCCTCCCCTCCCCCTTTTCGCCTGTCTGGGCTAGACATTTAATCTGAAATGTTATAACTGTGCTCCTAACACCCATGTGCCAGTCATTAGAAGCTCATTGAATATTGCGACATCACGCCTGTTGTGTGTTTTACTTTTTTTTCTTTCGGCTGCCACCCAGCAAAACCATTAATTGCACACTCTAGTCCGAAAATCTCACAGATACAGAGGAAAAGATACAAGTATGTATCTTATTTTTGCTCTCTCTGCGGAGACTGCATTCTATCTCCAACTGACCCCATTTTTTCCCCAGTATTCACTGGTATTTCCTATAATATTTGTCGCATATTTCGGCATTTGATTTATGGCCCCCCGATTTCTTTGGACTTTTTTTGTGGTGTCTCCGCTTCTCGTTTTGTTTGGCGGCTCCTTGCTCATAATTTATTTTCCTTTTTTTCGCTGGTATTTATTTTACTTTGGTATTTTGATTGAAATTGATTTTATTACTCTTTTTTATTAGTTTAACTCAAATTGTGTGCGAGTGGGAATTATGTGGCAAATTTTATGATTTTATTTTCGCCCTCGGTTTTATTGTTAAACGAACGAACTCGATTGGTTTTTGATATATGTATACATTTATCCGAGGTGAGGTCTATAAGGCAAGTGCCATTTTGATTTCGAAAGCAGTTCGGTTATAAAAAGGGCGCATGGCAACCATGGGTTAATGGCTGGCTTATCTAATTTCGTTGCTTGATCGAACATTGATTAAAACTCGGTTGGTTTTTGGTTGATATTCCACTGAGTTTTCAGGTAATTTCCTCACTTTTCACCCACGGTTACCCAACTTTTCCCCCAATTAAACACAAATCATGGAGCACTCATGCAAATCATATTACCGTTCAGTCCCAACTAATAATTAAAAGTTTTTAAAGTCTAAGTACAGTTACTCTTCGGTTTTGATTTAACAAAATCATAACACTGAACCGCTAGTAAAAGCAATTAAAATAATATTATTCAAAGCGTTTTATTCGCAATTAAAATGAGAAACGTGAATGAAGCACCAAGCTTGGTGTTAATATTTTGTTACCACTAATTGTCATTGAAAAAAAATAGTGAAAGTGAGCAATGTGTGAAGTGTTGTGTGTAGTCTAGTGTAGACTCAGCACTTGAGAGAGCAAAAACGTTTAATAACTTTGACTGTGGCAAGAAAAATGGGAAATCCATCAAAGCCCGCGTTGTGATGAGTAATTCCCAAACATTTTTCCATGGCAACTCAGGTTGAAATTAACTTTTTGCTTTACTTCTCCACGTTTTTTTTCGTAGGCCTATGAAATAGTTTTTTGTTTTTTTGGTTTTTGCTGCCAGTGCAGCAGCCATGAAATGTGAAACAACTTTATTTCATTGTCAGTGGGTCTCTCACTTCATGGCTCTCTGGAAAAACCGGCTCGCTGAAACGCTGAAAAATACAAATACAACAACAACAAAAAAAAGAGAAAAACAAAAAATGATTACGCTTGCAGGCCGAAACTAGAAAATGAAAGTGAAAGTAGGCCAAACTCATCAGCATGCTCGATTCCCCGACTTTGACTTCGAGTTGAGCTCATCGGGTCTCGGTGTCTGTAGGCCTATCTAATATCTAATGTCTAATATCCCCGTGTACTCGGCCGCAGAAAACAATGCAATCACTTGAGTCGACTTCACTCGAGACTCCACTTCGATGGTCGCCGGGGATTTGACTCTGCCTCACTTTCGTTTTCAGCGAGTCGGCCTACGATGAAAAGTGAAAATAATTCAGTGAAAATCGTTTCTTTCTGCGCCGCAGCGGGAAAGCGGGTTTGCGTCTTAAGACCCGGCTGGTTATGAAATTTGTTTAACTGCCGTTCGAATCAGTTATGCGGGGATTAAGGGAAAAGTTAAAAGTAGATTTACATTGAAAGATTGATATTAACCTTTAAAAAGGCTGAGTTCCATCATCTTAATAGGTTTATTAAACAGAAATGTTAGTAAATTGAATATTAGATACTTAAAAGAAATTGTAATTGTTACAGAAAAAATTTATAAATATAAATAGTAAATAATAATAAATTCATGAGTAAAAGAATCTAGAGTTTCTTTTTTCAATCAAATAATTTAAATTAAATTAAGTAAACTTTCTATATCAAAAACCCATAAAGACTTCCCCTGAAACTTTTTCTAGCTAATATTCCTATCTCTTGACCATCAGAAATTGGCTAATTGACCCCGGTTTTCTCCTCCCCAAGCTAATCCATTAGGCCTATTCACTATCCCGGCCACTAATCCCGTCTTTATTCCCAGAAAAAAAGCACAACTTTTTTCACAACCCAGTGAGTTCGTTCGCAAGTGAATTTGTTACTTTATCCAGCGGCCACAAAGTAGGACTAACTATGTACGACAGGAAAATAAGTGGAAGGGGGCGGAGGCCAAGGAAGGAAAAGGGGGCGTGGGAACTGGACAAACCATCTATAATTTACTTTTTAAGCGCCCGAAAACATACATTTTCCATTTGCCAACAGCCATTTTTACAAGACCAACAAAAAAGCAACGATAACGATACCGATAGGCCGCCCACACACACACACACACACACACACACACAGCCAAAGGGAAAACAGCAATCGACACTTGGCTACGCCCGGCAACAAAAATTAAATTCGTTTCCCCATCTCACTTAGCCGCTCTCCGGGCGAGAAGAAATTATAAGCCGCTTACATAACAATCAATGCGACTAAGACTGCAGGCCCGTTTTACCATATCTACTTTATCGACAGTGGCGTAATCAAAAAGGGGTTAGAGATACTCCTCTTTATAATATCTATAAAATATTTATAACGTTTTATAGATTTTTTTGGAACTTCAAATCATTTCTTAACCCTGTTACAATATTTCCAATCTGAGAAGTCTTTATGAAACTTTTATTTTAACTTGGTTTGTAATAATAATTTAATCTTTAGTATAGCATTATAAAAAAGACAACAACATATCTGAATATTGAAACTAGGATTCTAATACTTATTAACAATATATTTTTGACTTTAGAAGCATGACAAATATGATTAAATAATTTGCAACAATTATTGTAGAGTTTCCTTGTAAGTTTAGAGATAGAGATAAAGCTTATCTTAAAACCTTATCATAATAAAATTGTTTTGTTCTTTAAATAATTTGATATACAGGGTGGTCCTAAACCCCCCTAAAAACACCTGTTACGCCCCTGTTTCGTAGGCCTCCAGTGATTCAGTGTGTGAATCTTGCGAGGGCTTTTCGCTCGCCCTAATTGCGATGGGCGTGGCAGGCAAATCAAATTTGTAAACAGATTTCGTTGCCACGGGAGGGGGTAAATAAAGACTGTCTTCTTGGTCGTGTTGTTAAATTTTCCTTTGCTGGATGCAATCAGGCAACTGGCTTGAGGAAAATTCCAAACCAAACCAAAAAAAAAAAAAAAAAAAATACCAAGAAAATAGGAGAGAACTCGTCTCGTTGACGCCCCATAGGAAACTTTTTTTTATGACTTAAGCTTTGTTGTTGGCACGATACTTTGTCATTCCCTCGCTGAAATTCTCTAGTCCCCCCTCTTCCCCTCCCCCCCAAAAAATCACCCACAAACTGTCCGTTCCGTGAAAAGCATTTGCGCAAAGAGAAAAAATTATCGCATTTTATTTTCATCCTTATCAGACGCATTTTTCCCCCGGCTCTTTCCCTTTTGTGTCGCCTAACCGAAATTTATATGCAGACAGCGCGATATTGCAGTTGGCGTTCCTTTCTTTTTCTTCCTCAAATATTTCCCACTGCGAGTTAGAAAAATAATTTTCGCCTCTGTTATTACACACATAGTTTTCCTCTTTTTCCTTCGCTTTTCTTCTTGGCAAATTGCTTTCAATTTTTTATAGTTCTTTTTTGACTGCGTATGGTCAAAGCATACGAAATAGATATTTATGGGAGTGAGAAGAGCTACACTTAAAAAAATACAAAATAAAAGAATCACAAATAACAAAGTTCTATAGTAAAATAATTGTGAATTCTTTGAAGAACCATATGCTTTTTAAACTTCAAAAAAAATTATAAAGTCATTAAACACATTTTAAATTCTATTTTATTTTATTTTATTTTGTAATATGTTCATAAATTACTACAATATTTTCTCTGTATTCATTTACTGCATGAAGAAAAATAAATTCTTTTGTGGCTGCAGTAAAAGTCATTTAATTATATTGGCTTTGTTGACTCTGACGTTGTAAGCTTAATTTATTGGCTCTCAAGAAAATACTAGCGTTGAATCCACAACTTAAGGTTTCTAGATAAGGAAACTGACTTAAGAAACATTTTGCTATACAGACTTTTGGATTGCTTTTCCAGAACACAGCTGAATAAATCAACAGAGTA